TTGTTTTGATCCATACCTCCTGAAATATTTTACAATCTTTTTTAACACCCTGTATAAAGTGAAACTTCTATAGGAAAAGATTGTAGAGTACAAACTCATTTATGTCTATCCGGCAACGTAAATTCCCCTAAGGTGGAAGGTTAAAGAGAATTATTTATGGCAGTTATACCAAAAGCCTGTAAAACTTGGCCTGTTGTCTGACAAGGTCCTTTCTATGTGAAACGATGAAAGAATCAAGCCGTTGTATGTATCTTTATACTTTATACTGAGTTTTTTTAACTAGATAAGGTAATAAGGTAAAAAAATGGCTAATGTAAACTGGGCGATAAGTGAAGAATATACATATTTGTTAAACATTATAATATTAAAGTAGTATTAAAATAGTATATTAAGCATCAAGAACGGTAAGGACATTTTACCAATCGAAGAAAATTGTATTAGGTCGGTATGTTCTTAACGTTCGTGATGTTTATGACATTTTATGCGCCACTGATTTTTGTTAGTTTTTTTTAATAACATATCTAAAAAATGTTCTAGAACGCCAAAATACTTTGGCGACGACTTTGATCGTCTTACCGACGAGTCTGGGATAGCTACGATTACTGTGTTGGAAACAGACGTAGTAAACAATCGAATACAGTAATCGCGCAAAAAAGTCTTTTTTGCGCGATTAGACTCTATTCGAGTTTTTTGAAAATTTTTGATTAATCTTCTTTAAAATACAAGATGGTCTCGATATAACATATCCAAGAAAATCCAATAATTTAATCGTTTTCGAGATTAAAATGATTTAAAATTGATCAAAATTTAATGTGCACGACTGAGTAAATTGAGATTAAAAAGGTAAATCCGGTTGGTGTAAACTGTTCTAGAAAATTATGGCGCAAAATATTAATCTTTTCCACTTTTAATTGAAAATATATTGTTGCTAGAAAAATTAAAATTTTTGACTTCCTGTGACGCTATTTAGTATACACACACTGTGTCAATTTTAAAACTTGCAATCGGCAATTTCTCTCAACTGAAAAAGTTATTAATAATCACTTAAAACCGTCTTGGTGGTTCCTAGGGGGAATTAAAATGACATGATAAGTGACACACTTCCACCCACCCTTGAATATAGTAAAAAAATGAAAATTTAACGTAGGCTGTTGTATGACATTTTTGAAAAGCGCTTGTTATGGGTTTTCCATCGATGTATCGCAAGTAGGGTCGTGCCATTTAAAATTTTCAACTTAAGGTGGCTGTGGCTTGAAGGGTGGATGGAGGAACGTCACTTACCATGCCATTTTGATTCCCCCTAAAAACTACCGAAACGGTTTTGAGTGATTCTCAATAACTTTTTTAGTTCTAGAGATATTGGCGATTGCAAGTTTTAAAATTGACACCCTGTATAAAATGACTCAGGTTCTATCCTACGTGTTTACACACATCTAAAAAAGCGATGTTCACACAACTCAAATTTATAATTTTCGGATCTGTTGTTTTGTCATCTGTGTAGGAGTTCTTTTTTGTCAGTGATAATACGTCCATAACTTTTTTTCCTGTTTTGATATTACCCCATAAAATCTTTCAACGCTTTTTCTGGACATTCTGTATTAAATATTAAGAACGCTAAAAACATTTCACTTATTAAAGACAATTAGTTATGGGAGCGGAGCGACGATTTTAATTATTATTAATTATTGTCTGAGATCGGTCATCCCGTAAGGTTCTGGATGCTTATAACGTTTTTAGCTTACCAAAATACATATAATCTTCACTATCAGATAAAATAATGTTGATTAACAGCATCTCGTCCTAATTATTCCTCTCCAATGGACCCTAGAGCACGTCTCAGAGAACGTTTGTTCCTGCGGATCACATCAAACACCGAATAACTTCGATATTGGATTGCATTGGAACCTACCCTCAAAATTGTTTCCGGTACACTAAGTTTTATTACACTGTGTAGACGAAATTGCGCAGATTACTGACCTGTTAAATATTGCGTTATTACATCGTGTTTTGTGTCGGTGGTTTGAGCTAAAGAAGTTGGTGAAAAAAGAATCAGTCTTATTTCTCTCTTGCAGCATGATAAATAAGGTATTAAACATCCTATTTACCGCTCCTACTAAAATCATTTTCTGCAGTATTAATGTTACACTACCATTTACACCGTGTAAATAGAGTGGCACTCCAAATTAGTACTTATTAGCAACATTGTGATTATTAGATGTTATGAAATATTTGTACAGGGTTATTCACGAGAGGGATATTTCTGAATTTTTTTTGCCGCAACTAACAATACCAATATCACTATCTGCTTAATTAAATATGTTATTTCTTTTAAATTAGAAACCAAAGTAAGTTGGATGGATTTGCCAGAAATGTCAGATTGACAGATAACCTGTATTTAATCAAAATTCAACAAATAACTTAACATTAATCTAAAAGGTGTTTGAAGTGTCTACCATCAGCTTCTAAACTTGCGCCTAGTCGGTTGGTAAACGATAACAAAACATGTCCCATCGTTTAAGAGATGATTTTTTTGCTTTAATGTCAAAGAGACAAGACTAATAACAGCTATCGTGGATTCATAATTTTCATAATTTGAAATCATAAATTGTTGCAATATGTATAATGGGTTGCGGCAAAATAAATCAGAAATAACCCTCTCGTGAATAACCCTGTATGTATTCAGTTTGGTAACATGGTTTTGGAACTTTTGTTTTATAAGAAGAGTAATTGGTCCCATTTTATGAATTTATGTGTGTTTACTGCCAAGCAAAATCAGTATACCTACAGAGTGTCAAAAATGCAAATTAAACAAAATTTGTTTTCAAACTGCAGCGTGTTACTTTTCCAATATGTAAAAATGGAAGAAAAAAAAACAAACGAAAAAAACTTTTTCGGTTTCGATTCCTTCATAATTTTATAATTCAAGAAAATACCGGTTAAGGTCCAAAATTACATGTGGTTTCGGTACCGCTTCCGGTTTTTTTGGTTTCGGTTCCAGTCCGGTTCCGGTTCGAGCCTCATCTGAACAACTTCAGAAAAGCCTCTCTCCAGCATGGTAATTATTTCCACTTTGTTGAAGTAACAGACTGGCGCGGCACCGGCGCCACTATAAAATACAGGGTGTTTATAGCCTTGGAGTTGAAAATTGACCTAGTAATAGAAGAGTACAGAAATACTGTAACCGAGAAAAAAAACTCACACAATTGTGAATGTTATTTAACTCCAAAATATTGGTACACGGTTTGAGGGTCACTGGAATTATTTCCAGATAAAATTGTATTGTTGCAACAGATTAACAAATCGTATCCATGACAATGAAAGAGAAAAGTCACTTCATAGTTTTGACACTGTCATCATTTGATTTGCTTTTACTTTAGTTTTTATCAAAATTCGAAGATCTTCTGTTTAATCTCTTTCAGCGACTGGTTTCCAATAGGTTTGATTCGTTTTTCTTATTTTTTCTCCAAATTTATGAACATGTATGGCAAAATATTAAAATAATAAATTGGTTGTCGTGATTATGATTTACGGTGAAACACAAGGTAATCATACTAATGGCCATTGTCGCAACCGAAACAGCAGTTCTCAAACAAATAGTGTAAAATGAATAATTTCCTTTAACATCGTGAATTTTTGTTTTATTTAGCGTATTAGTTTTCTTCTACCGTGAATATTATCTCATTTAAATTTCAACCTCAAGACCGTAAACACCCTGTATTTGTCAATTAATTTTTGTTGTGATGTTTTGACATTTATATTTATTTTTGAAAAAAAGTTGATTGCAGACAAAATTAAACAGTGAAACTTCTTTTTTTTTGTCAAAAAGATAGTTTGAAAATGATATTACCTACCAAAATTTAATGCTCGCAATTGTACATAATTATATTGTTGGTTCCTATTAACAACATTTTTACAAGAAAGCATCTGCTACTTACAGTTGGAGACTAAATACTTTGGTCGTCAATGTCACTTGAGTGACACCAAATGGTAAAGCATGCTTTAGGACTGTTAACCTTATTTTTAGCTACTGTCAGGTTGTATGTACATACAGGGTGAATATAAAGTATGGAACCAAGCAGTTTTATTTTTAATCATTTGCCCCCAGAAAATAATAATTAATATAAATTAAAGTAATATAAAAAATGTGATCGTATTTTCATAACGAAATTTTATTTTGTTTTTGAGTTATGCGATTTTTTTTGACAAAATTGCAATTTTTGTGAAAAATTTTTTTTGAAAAAATTAAATATAAAGCAGATAGTTGTAATCCTTAGAGTATAGCTTTTATGAGAAAAAATATTTTATAGTGGGTTGCCATTTAAAAAAAATATTTTTTTTTGTAGAACTCATAAACAAAACGTAATATCGAAAAATTTTATTCTTGTTAAATCATCACATTTTTATAGTACTTTATCACTCATCAATTAGTTTTTTCAAAAAATAAATAGTTTAAACAAAAAACGTTTGGTTCCATACACTTTTTATTCACCTGGCATTTTTGATAGGAAAATATAATAGCTGTCATTAATTTGAAAATGTCATTTATTTTAACGTTAAATGTTGAATTACATTAAAGTGTCAGAAAAGTGACGACCAAAGTATTTTGTCTCCAACTGTACTACTTCTGACAATTTCTAAACAATAACTAGCAATTCGTCTTTTCTGTAATCCTGGGTCCAAAACAGCTCTGTATTATCGATTCTAACAAATTATGCAGAATTTGCATGAGTTTCAAAAACACTTAGAAAAGAAAATTACTTCTGACATGGGTCTGTAATTGAAGTGTAAATAATAGATTACTTGAGGAACTTAAGAGAGTAGTTACATGGCGTACATGGCAGTCAGGACATACATATTGCCATTTCAATCAACTCGAAAGACTCGAAATGTAAGTGAAATATAATTCAGATTTCCAAATTTGTAACTCATCAGTAGCCCGTTTAAAGTGACAGATGGCATATTTTTGTTTCAAAATTGTGACAGCTCGTGCACTTTCTTACCTTAAATAGCCTGTTGAAACCGCCTTTTCCGTACCATTGTAATCTTCAGGTGCAAGGAGACAGCACCTACCACTCACGACTATCAGCTGACGAGGTTCGAGAGGGTGCTAGTGTTATTAGAAACATGTCAAGATCGGACTTTCCCTTGCCACTGTTTATTTACACTTTGCTATCCTTAGTCACACCAAATTTTAAAAGAATGATTTTATTCTAGACATAGAAACAATTTGAAATTTTATACTACGCGACGCGTTTCCAGGAATATAGCTAGTGGCAATTGGGGTTGTAAGGACGATGTCGGAAGCAGCCGATGCTTGGGAGAGTTGAATATTCTGGCGCATGCGTCTCATTTCGCATTCATACCTACGAAGGACCGTCAATCGATGGGATTGCATAAAACTGCGGACTCAGACTGGAATTAGGATTTCACAAAAATTGGAACTGTTTCACATTCTAAGGAACGACAACAAACAACAGATAGCACAGTTGCAATGAATTGCTTTTTTGATTGTTTAAAAGAAACTTGTTCTCTGGAAAAATCGAAGGAAAATACTAAACGCAGAGTATGGAAACTACTACGTATTATTACAACTATTAAAAATTATTTTTTTAATGTATTTTTAAACAATACGCTAATTGGCGCCGTAGTGCGGTCGTACTACTGCAACGATTTCCTGTATAAATCTCGTTTCAACGCCATATTCTTATTACTCTGATAATTCACCCCTATTAATTAATGAAGCATCTTTACTTCAATTAAAACGGGTAGTTTTTAATAATTCAAAAATAGTTTAAATGAAAGCTACGGATACCTAAAGACTAGGATACGAAACGATATAAAACAAAACGTCTCCGTTAGTGAGGCCAGATAGCGCAGTTGTTCCTTTCCCTTCTAAGTTTTAAGAGGAATGAAGTAAAAAGATGGTTATACCTACAGGGTTATTCACGAGAGGGTTATTTCTGATTTTTTTTGCCGCAACCAACAATACCAATATCACTAACTTCTAAATTAAATATGTTATAAAGTCTGTTTTTTTTAAATGGAAATTACCAAGTCAAAATTTTGGTGAAAAAATTGGTAGCAGCTTGTCTCCATAGCCACAAATTTTGTTTGCTCTTTGTTTTTGTCCCTAGAAATTTTGTTAAAAAATTATGATTATGTGTTCAAATTGAGATGTTGTCAAAATTTTGACTTTTATGAATCTTGTGTGCCTGTTTCCTCTTTGAAAGCGCTATAATTGAATACCTGAGGACAGACATCATTACCTAAGATCTAAAGACAGAATTCAGTGCTAATAGTTTTGACAGAAACACACCGCAAATAAGTACAATGTTGTGGACATAAATGAGATTCTTGCTACAAAAACTTTAAAGAAAAGGGATGTATATACAGAAAAAAGTTGTTTAGCAAAAGGTACAAGTAGGTATTAATCATAATCAGATTATTAATCATCAGATTGGCAATAAATTTTGTGTAATTTACTGAAATGAGCTCAAAGTTGATGCATTTTATAAATTCTTCTTCAGCTTTAGTTTCAAAATTATTACTTTTTCAACTCATTCCTCAAAAAACGATGCACAAGACACTAATTTAATTGCGTTCTTTCCGAGGTTCTTTCTCATTCATGTTTATTTTGTATTCTTGTCGATTTCTTGCTAAAAATTAAGAATATTTAGCAAACCTGCATTACAAATTGCTTCTACATTTTAACGGGCCCTTTTTCTAACTTCCTGCTGGCGAACTATTCGTTTTCAAATTTCGAAAAACTGTTAGTGTACCGAATTTGTTTCTTTTTTGGTGTTTTCTTAGACGATTTTTTGTGTTGACTTTTAATGACATTGTTTTCAAATTAATTCAAAAAACCGGAACTGCAAAGTTTCTTTATTAAAATTACCGTCGTCTGCGTTGATTGACAGTAAATAAAGTCTTGGCAATAGGAGAAAATCAGCCGCCAATAGATGGTACTAAAACATCAATGTTTTCCCCATTTGAATAGTTTGCAGTTCATGTGCCAGATGTCTCCTTTACTAATTTTGGCGCGTAGCTTAGACGACGGCGCGGCGACTTTTGGCGGGATTTTGACGAAATTTTGTGACAGCTTTTAGTTTTATTTAATCTGTCACCTAAGGGTTTTTAAAAGTATTTTTTTATTTAAAAAAAAAGTTGAAATTTCCAATTTAGAAAGTAATACCTCGAAATAGACCCTCCCACATAGTTTATGCAATGAGATAAGGAGCAAAAACGCTTGCAAGTACTCACATTTACATTGACTTGTCAAATTGACAAAAATGGAAAACTGATATTGTCAAAATATGTTTTCCCCATTTGATAGTTCCAAGCCGGACACCAGAGGTCAGCTACTTTGCTGATTTTCTCCTATAGGCCAAAATCGTGAACTTGTCAAAATCGAAAATTCCGGTAGATGACGCGGACGTTACCCTCCAAAGGAAACTGTAATTTGTGAAATTTGAAAATTTACAGGAAATTAAATGTCACAATTATTGACACATTTAATAAAATATTGATCTGTCACACAACTAATACATTTTTTCAGCTTAAGAAGCGCAGTATCAATATCTTTCAGACGTTACATTATAATTTTTAAAATGCCAAGTATCCGAACTTGCTGTGTTCCAAACTGTGGGCAAGCGGAGAAAGAGGGTGTTATTTTACATCAATTTCCAAAAAGCAGAAATCAAAAAAAAAAAACGAATGGCTTAAGAGAATACTTGGTACCATCGGCAATATACCCCCAAATTCCGTGATTTGTGGAAAACACTTTGAAATAACGAGCTATTATAAAAACAAAAAATTGTTACCAAATGCAGTTCCATCCTTGCTCTTGAATTATAAAAGAATTACTCGTTTTCAGGTAATTTATACCACTTCCATTAATTCAGAACTTAGAAACGCCGTTAGAAACGCCTGCACCGTGTCTCCAATCTCCAGAGTCATTTGACAAAAATTATACGATTTCAAATCCATTTCGATTTGATTTTGATCAACAAAGCGATTTAAAAGTAGGTGATACTCATGACTTTGATTTAAAAAATGTTTCAGATGCAATAAGTTCGGCAGAAAAATTTGTCTTACTAGATAAAATTTAAAATTTAGAAAAAAAGTTAGAGGAAGCAAATGTAAGATTTCAAAAGTTGAATAAGCTGTATGAAAATAAACTTGAAAAACTAAGGAGAATGCAGGAAAAAATTGACAATTACAGTAAAGGTCAACATTGTGTAGTGAAAATTGAGTCAGATGCAAAAGACTTAGAACCAAGGGCTGTGTTTTTACTTGATCAAATTTATAATTATTCCCTAAAAAACCCAAGATGGTCTGAAGTTACAGTACGTCATTGTACTGCCTGGAGTTATATTTCTTCAAAAGGTTATGAATTTGCAAGTCATTTTTTAAAAGCTCCATCCAGAAGAACTTTAGACAGATATATGGGAAATTCTCAAGGGGATCCAGGCTTGACTAATTTAATTAAAAACAGAATAACTGCTGAAGGCAATAATTTAAAACACGTTGAGAAAATATATTCTCTTATTATAGATGACATGGCCATTAAAGAAAAAATGGAGTATAATCGAACAGAAAATACATTTTACGGCATTGCAAATACTGAGAACGAAATAATAGGAAAAAAGCCCATTTTAGCCAATAAACTGTTGTGCTTCGTTATTCATGGATTGTCTACCAAATACACTATTCCCGTTAGATACTTTTTTCATAAAACACTTTCGACTGAACAGTTTTTTTAATATGAGCATAAATGTAATAAAACAGGTACATGAATGTGGCTTCAAAATCTTGAAATTGGTAAGTGACAATCATAAATCAAATGTTGCACTTTTTAAAATGTTAGGACAAACAGAGCTGAAAACCAAGGTCCAAATAGAAAAATAGTAGAAAATATAATTAATCCTAGTGTTTTTTATTCAAAGTTTTGAAGAAATAATAAAGAGTTATTGTAATATGTTAATGTTCTTGTAAATTTGTAAAGAATAAAAATAACTATATAACCCAAATGTAAATCTTTATTTTTTAAATAAATAAAATTATATTTGCGTATAAAATGTTTTAATTTTTGATGTTTTTGGTCTAGTCCTTTGAAAAAATTACAATCAACAAAAAATTATTATACAACCCATAAAACACAAAAGCAAATTTTTGTATACAAAAATTTATCAAGGTTTCAAGCCAAAATATACAGATTCCATTAGACTGCAGACTCGTCGCTCCCCCAACGGCCATTTTTTGGCATTGCCCAGACTTTTATTACTGTCAATCAACGCAGACGACGAAAATTACCATGAATGAATTTACTAGTGATGCCAACGTTAAGACTGTTTGGCATTTCCATTAAAAAAAAAACTTATCTTTATCTTTTATGTTAGAAATCAAAGTAAGTTGGATAGATTTGCTAGAAATGTAAGATTGACAGATAACATATATTTTATCAAAATTCAACAAATAAATTAACAAGTTAAGTTAATGTAAAAGGTGTTTGAAGTGTCTACCATCGGCTTCTAAACATTCGCCTAGTCGGTTGGTAAACGATAACAAAACATGTCGCACGGTTTGAGAGATGATTTTTTTGCTTTAATATCAAAGAGACAAGACTAATAACAGCTATCGTGGATTTAGTTATAATTATTTTCAAAATTTGAAATCAAGAAATTGTTGCAATATGTATAATGGGTTGCAGTAAAGAAGATTCAGAAATAACCCTCTCGTGAATAATCCTGTATTTACATAACAGTGAGTAGAACTCAAACCTAAAAACTATAGCCAGATAGAGCATTAAATTCACAATAGTAAGAGATAAAGGTAATGCAAAAATTTTATTGAAAACTATATTTAAAAAAATTTCAAACATTTACCAATTTGCGTCCCGTCTCATATTTTTCTAAATTCTGCGAATACGGTTAAAGTACAAGAAAAATGTAAGAAAGAAAGTTGTAGAGAATAAAATTTTCAAGAAAAAAATCCGAGAGACGATACTTCTATCTTCAACGGTAATAATGCAGTAACTAATATGGTGTCTAGCGCACTCATTTTGTCAATTTTTTTCGTTGAAACGCAAATTGTTTACTCATCGTTACCAAGACAACGAAAACCAGCTAACTTTCTGAATGAACAATTCTATCATTTTCTGGTGCAATAATCTTCAAAATACATCTCGGGCATTCCATGTCCTCAGATAATTTCGCTTAATATTAATCTTTCATGCGTGTTAAGAAGAAAACCGCACTCGTGCAGTTTTCATACCTAACACGCATTCAAGATTAACCTAAGCAAAATTATCGGTAACATGGAATGCACTCGTGGTATTGCTAATGATAATCTTGTACCTATATGTTTTTTTTATAATTACTTAATAAAAGAACAAAAATTTTGACAGTAAAAGTCACAGATAATGTTAAACAGAGTTACAATTTAGCTTCCTTGTTTCCTCTTCTAATAGCCTGAAGCAAAAAAATTTCGAAAATTATTCTTCCAACAGAAATAAATAAAGTCAAAGTGCAAAATTTAAACTCCGAAATTTTTATAGATAGAATTTTTTTAACATTTTTTTCATGTTCCTGGTATCTTACCTTACATGACATTCTCTGGGGCGCGAATTCTGGCGCACCGTATACCTTACCCACATAATACAAAATTGGCCCGGTTTGACGTTCAGTGTCCCAACTCTTCAAATATAGGAACTCTAGCTATGGCTAACCGTGGCTAACGATTTTCTCGCAATACCAAAACAAGTTAAGCTGAAAACTACACTCACCGGCAAAATTATCGCATCACATGGAAAAGTGATTTTTTATTGAAATAACGCTTAAAAAATAAATGCATCAAAAATTAATTAATTAACTAATTAACGTTAAGTTAAACTAAAATTACGAATTAAACTTCAACAATTAAACTACAATTTAATTATTGTCAAAAGAAACAAAAAAGCGAATTCCGTGCGAATCAGTTCTTTAGCTTAGATAAGCTTGTCTCACATTCGGAGGCAACCATTAATACCTAGTATTGCCTCCTCGAGCCTGGAAAGAAGCTCAGTTTTTTATTGTTGTCTCTCTGAAATTAGCGGTAATTTTGATAATTTGACATTTATTCAGTAAACAACGAATCTACACCAATTGTTTTTGAAAAATCTATAGTCGACTGAGTTACTTGATAATTCTACTATTCTACAGGGTTATTCATGAGGAATAATGAGCCTGACCAAATTCTCGATGCAACCAACATTACATTGGTCGCAAAGCAACTTGCGAAAAGTAATGGTGGTTGCATCGAGAATTTGGTGAGGCTTATTATTCCTCGTGAATCACCTTGTATATCATCAATTTTAGTACTATTCTCAGAACCATTTAGCCATTTTAATTCTTAAAATTTAAGTGATGCGATAATTATTCCGGTCAGTGTATTAAACATAGGCATACGGAATGTTAGTAATAACAGGTGTTTATTTGAATTTCGCGTCATAGTTGGCGGTGATATGAGTGAGTTGTGAACAAACCACAATTTTTAATATGCCCAGCGAGGTGTCAAATGTCAGATTAATAACTTTCAATACGATGGTTCGAACCAAATTCAAAAAAATACCCGTTACAATCCATTTAAGTAGATAGTTATTTATTATACAAGATGATAAACAAATCTACGAGTGAAAAGGTTAAGTTTACGTGTGACGAAGTCACGAATGGACTTTTTTCACGGGTAGACAAACAATCTTTATCGTCGTGTATAATATTTTGTTTTATTTTCGTTCTTCACTCACCTACCAGAATTTCTTGAGTATAAACAGTAAATAAAAATTACTTTATTTCACTAGACGATAAAAGACCACTTTATCTACTGAAATTAGTTGATAAAATATAAACAGTAGGTAAAAATTACTTTATTTTACTAGAAGATAAAAGACTACTTTATCTACTGAAATTACTTGATGAAAACACTCTTTAACATTGAGTACAAAATAAAAAAAAATAGTCGGTTTGTTAATTTGAAGTTTCCCAAACGTAACCTTCAATTTTGCGGGTTTATTAATTATTTTTGCAATCATGAATACACTAAAAAAAAATTAACCTTTTTCTTTCAAATGCTTAAACACAATTTCAATATAATAAAAAATGGTAGAGTTATAGATTTTTAAAGAGGAAGGTGCAAATTCAAAAAATTTTAAAAAATCTAAAACGGTTAAACTTAAATGTAGGGAAGGCCGATGAAAACTCTTTCAAGAACGAAGTTGATACCCACTTTCGGTGTACCCAGAAGTGCAGCCATTTTAAAAATATTTTCATTGAGCACGACCAAACCGCTAAAAACAAAATTTTAGTTAGATATCATTAGTTAGAACTCCCAATACTTCTAATATGAGGGTTTAGCCGGAACAGCCTTGTATATGATTTGTTGATGTAGAATTTCGTAGCATTTTTCCTCAAACACGAGAAAAGCTAGTAGGTATATCGGGTGATTAAAAAATGTGTGGCATAATTTTAATCACAAATATTCCTCTACAAATGAGAATAGAGCACAGTAGGTATGTACTTATTCAAAAATAGAAATATTACAGCATTCCAAAAATCGGTTTGAAAATAGTATATTAAAGTACAAGTTGCAGAAGGTATCTCTTCAAGCACAAATTTGAAATTCCGAAACGAGCCGCGAAGCGGCGAGTTGAGAAACAAATGAGTGCTTGAAGAACCTTCTGCAACAAGTGCTTTCTACTATTTTTTCTATTTCGCCGCTTTATATCATTTTATAAATTAAAAAACGAAAATTAAAAATTTTTTTTCTAGAGAATTTTGCGACGGCTGGCGACATTTATGTGTGGAATAATATTAGGCGGCTGTAAAAAATAAAAATTATTCTTATTTTCACATTTGAAAATGAATTGTAAAGAAAGTCCGTCACTAAAATTAAATTACCGCGAACGACTTATTCCAGCACGCAAATGACGTCATTTGGGTGCTGGAATAGACTTATTCTAACACCGAAATAGAAAAAATGGTTTTCTGGAAATATTTTTGTTATTATTTATTCGAATATTATGAAACTTTGCATGTTAAGGGACAAAAGACATTTTTTGACATAGTTTAAACGGAAGTCTTGTAAAATCTATACATTTCCGGTGATAATGGGGCTCTTCCAGTTTTTGGGTCATACATTTTTTTCAGCTTATTAACCTTTGTTTCTGATATCAAAAATTGAAAGCCCAATTATTTTTTCATAAAAACGTACTTGTTTCATATCGCTAAAATATCGCTAAATTATCTCCACACGGCGGTGAAAAATCAGTAGTTATGAATTTTGAGCGTACCGTTGATGATTTATATAGTGCATTGTATAATTTGGTTATTTCTTCGAGATTATAAAACACAGGATTATTTTGGTATTAGAAAAAACAATAATGCATGAGCCATTCCGTCCATCACATCACCGGTCTCTACAAACTCAGAAAACTCTGAAATATCAATTAATATTAAATATTCAATTAACTAACACAAAAAATTCAAGTAAGAACTAAATTGCAAAGTGTCATAGCATAGCAAAGGCTTTCTGTGTTTTGCTTTCTATGTTTTGTGTAAATAATTTGGATTAAAAATTAATATGCTACGACACTTTTTTTATTCAAATGCGTGGAAAAATGAAATGCTGTGGCATTTTTTTTCACGCTTCCAGTGCGGTGAAACGAAAGTATTTTTTATAAACAAAAATTAATGAAAAATCTTAACCTTTTTTTGACGGACGTGAAAAAAAATTTAAACTATTGAAAAGTGTTAGCTTAATCTAGACAGTTTATATCAATTTTTGATCTGACAGAAAAAAAATTCCCAATCAAGTAGAAACTATAAGCTAATGGACGATCACGAAGACCTTGATTCTGCCTATTATCTAAGATCGAAAAAACGAAAAGTTGATGATGGTGAAGAGGCCACTTGTTCCTATTCTAATAAAAATCAATTCAAACGAAAAAATCCAATAATGTTGATGCCGTTAGAAATTCTCCAGAACGTCTTTAAGTTCATAACATATCAAGAACTCAGTTAGTTATTTCATAAGTTGCTTAAACTTTATTCTCACAATTTATTTTCTAGGTGAGAAAGTGAGAAAAGTAAATCGCAAGTTCAAGTTAGCTGCTGAAGATTTATTAAACAAAACTTTCAAAAGCTTATCGAAGAAATTACAACATTTAACAGCTACAACTTTTAAGGCGATTGAGGCGACTCAAGACGATATGGAAATTAAATGTTTGTGTCGATTACTGAATTTATTGGACATAATTAATTTTCAAGTAAGTCTAAATAATTTGTGTCTAAATCTTAATAATACTGTTTCAGCAAACTGTGATAATGGCCACCATATGGCGTTACGTCTATAACGAATTTTATCGAACTCCGAAAAGCTGCATGTATGGTGGTTTAATTTTAGATCTTTTTGAACATTTTCTTTACAAATTTACAACAAAACCGTATCAAATTTATGGGCCTGCAGTCGTGAAAGACTATGTATATAATTACATTACTCAAATGTAGTTCCTTAAGTATTATTCAAGGCTTTACCAGAAGACGTGAAACATATTATTCATTTGACAAAAAACTTTTGTATCCACTTTGACAAAGTGAGCGAAGAACCCATTAAAAATGCCTTAAGTGTTAGTGGTTGTAAAATTGTCGACCTTCTAGACAGCGCTTCTTATGCCTCAAAAAATGTTATTTTTGAACGAATAAGTGGCAATACTTTTTCTGCGAAGGTATATAAAATTCTTTTGTTGCTCTTATTTCTAGCCTGTATTTAATTCAGTATTGCTACTACCTTCAAAATGCTTGGTTTGTGGCATTTGGAATACCACCAGACAAAGATATGTCTTTAAAACAGAAACAGCGTATGATGCATATGAGAATTAGAAGAATTATTTTAGCACATACTGAAATGTTTATGCAACAGCACCACTACGAAAGAGAAACGTTAGTGAGAGCTAATCCCATAATTAAGAAACCAAGTGTAGTTGTTTACACTGGTTATGGTGACGTGCATGATACTTTCTTCTGTTATGGCGCCATGAACGACGGTATTTATACCAAAATTATTTACTAAACCATACTGTATGACATCTGGTTGTAGCTGCATATTTACAAAAATTTCATTTACAAGAAGACCAGCAGGATGAAGATGTTGAAGATGAACTACACAATGAAGAAGTTATGCCAAATCCCGATGACGTAAACCAACAAGACGATTTTTTTCTCATTCCCCACTTGGGTTTAGATATCGACATCCGAATTGATTGTCCGTTAGCTTATGCCCCTTACAAATACATTATTGAAAATGAAGAAATGATTAGAGATGAAGAAAAATCATCCAATGGAATGTTTAATCTTTGTATCCAATTCAGTTTTCCTGGTGCTCATTACCCTAGATTACCTACTACATACAACTATCAAAAGAGAATATCCACACGACAGTATTAATTTTTAGTATTTAGAAAATATCGCCGTTTTTTGGTAATTTTATATCACTTTTAGCATACCCTGTATACAGGTTGAATAATTAAAACATATCATTTTTAAGAAATCGAATTGTTCTCTAAATCTCAAAATAACTGCAATGACAATATTATTTGCTAAAAACCAGATAGATTTGCCTCAAATTCATTTCGAAAAAAAAAAGTAACAAAATTTATTGCCTATGTGTAAACCTCCTCAATTGTAATTATCGAGAGATAAAGATAATTTGTATTCGAGTCATCCTTGGATCCGAAAACGTAAAGTCTATTTCATTTAATAAACAATTGTCAATGCAAAATTTTCTTAAAAGACCTGTACCACCCTAAAACTGCGATATATGGACCAGCTGTATACAGCTTAGTGAGGTTATGATTAAGTCCTGTCAATTGTGAGTTATGTACTCACAAACTTAAATATGAAATTCCATAGCCAACCATTATGCCAATTTCATTGAAATATACTATACGTTTTTGGATCCAAAAATGACTCGATTACAAATTATCTTGATTTCCCGATATTTGTGTAGCAAAGAGTTGACGTATCTACAGGACTTATTATAAAGAAAAGTTATTCTGTTATAATAGTCTGGTCAAAATAGACATTTCAAATAACTAAAATTCCGACAGAGCTAAATTTTGGTCAAGATCTTGGGTACACCATTAGTGTCAAAAGTCCCCATCGATCCCATGTGTGCTAAAAAAGTTATTCGGGGCAAAGGTCAAAATTTGACGTTTTTTAGATTATTTTCGAAAACTGAAAGTTTTATCAACAAAGTAGCCCAGACAAAAATTATAGATTTTAAAATTGTCTACAAAAATGGTCCTTTTTTTCCAAGTTTTTTTGCTATAGGCTATTAGAAGCGGATACAAGGAAGCTTTATCCTAAACTGTAACTCTGTTTAATGTTATTTGTGGCTTTTATTGGTAAAAGTTTTGTACCTTTACTGAATAATTGTAAAAAAAACATATACAAAATCATCAGTATTATTAAATAAACATAAAAAAATGTGTCAAAAAATAAATGTCAAAATTTTTTGACAGATAGAATTTTTTAAACATTTTTTCCATGTTCTTGGTATCTTATCTTACTTGAAATTTTTCTTCTACTTCATTAAACTTATAAATATCTCGATTACATTAGAATTAAAAAGAATTTATTTGGTAATACATATAGGTATTCAAAAAATTGCGCACTTCCTTGAAAGGGAGTAATTTCAGAGTACTGAAAAAATGTTTAAAAAATTCTATCTGTCAAAAAATTTTGCCATTTATTTTTTGACATTTGACATTTTTTATGTCTATTTAATAATACTGATGACTTTGTATATGTTTCTTTTTATAATTATTTAGTAAATGTACAAAAATTTTGTCAATAAAAACCATAAGAAACATCAAACAGAGTTATAGTTTAGGATACAGCTTCCTTGTTTCCACTTCTAATAGTCTGTAGCAAAAAAACTTGGAAAATTATTTTTCCAACAGAAATAAATAGAGTCAAAGGGCAAAATTTAAACTCTCATAACTTTGAAAATTTTATAGATAGAATTTTTTTAAATTTTTTCTATATTCCTGGTACCGTACCCTACATGGCATTTGTCTTTGAGGCGCGAGTTCTGGCGCACTCTGTATGTGCATATGATGTAGAACGTTACTTCTTCAACTTTTAGAATCGCGATATCTCAGAAATGGTGATTCTTAGAAGTATAAAGACCATTTTTGTAGATAATTTTAAGATCTATAATTTTTGTCTGAGCTACTTTTTTGATAAAACTTACGGTTTTCGAAAAAAAACTAAAAAACCTCAAAGTTTGACCTTTGACCCCGAATAACTTTTTTAGCACACATGGGATCGATGAGGACTTTTGACACTTTATTTCCAATGGTGTACCCAAGGTCTCCACCAAAATTTAGCTCTGTCGAAATTTTCGTTATTTGACCATTATTTTTATGACTAATTTGACCGGACTATAACCACTATTGTAATAAAATCTAATAAATAATCGTGTGGCATAGAAATAATCTCTAAAAATTGTTTTCAACATTTATTAATATAAATAAAATAATAACATTTTTTTAACAATAATTGACATATAACACTTATTGTACATATGTATGGACCGATCACATATAACGATAATTGAAATCTGTAAATGTAATAGCCGGCGCTGACCTCGGATTTCGACTGCTGCAACACTGTGATTGAAACAGATGCCTTTCCAAATTACCGGCTGTTAAATTCTCCTGCAAGTGTAATTGTCACTAATGAATCAGTTTATCATTTAGAATTGCTGAACCTGACTATAGTGCATGGAATACGCCATTCTTGCTCTTTGATGCAACTGCAATAAAGGACAAGACGGTGGAGGAAATTGCTCTCCATCAATTAGGAAATTGGCACCAGGACGTCTTAGTAAATCAGGAGTTTCACTCAATCCTTGAACAGAAAAACGATAATTTCATTTTCATTAAATACCTCGTATTACACTGTCTGAGCTGTTGAAAAGCGACGAGCCGACAATTTCTTCTCGAATTCTGGCCAATCTCTGAGCAGGATCTTCACCAACTAACCAATAAGTGCGCATTTCGCCTTTTCCCTAGAAAAAATGCTTGATATTGAATAAATTTATATACATACAGGATGCGCCAGAACTCGCGCCCCAGAGAAAAATGTCAAATGCCGGCAGCAATGGGTCGCCAAAAAGTGCAGCCGAAGAAGTAACTTTTGCTTGCATAAGAAAGTTGAGAGACTCTTAATTCCACCAATTCCAGAAGGGCACCTCAGGGTGTGATTGGAAAATTATATCCGTTGCTAGGTTACAAAAATAATATCAATTTGCCTAAAAGTTTCAAAAAATAGCTGGATTACTGTAATTGTCTGTCATATTTTTGACATAACACGCTATTTTCGAATATTTTTCTCGCTGAGGATGCTCTGCACAAGTATAATGAGACGAAATCGTTGAAAATTTTTGAAAACTCGATTTCCATTGCTATGAACCAACAACTATTTTAATACTTTTAGATGTTTTCTTCAGAAGCATTGTTTATACTTAACTTTTTTTTCGATATGAGTTATATGACACAGACAACAAGCCGAAAACTAATGCTAGAAGCGAGTTAGATTAACCAGACAGACAAAAACGTACGCCAGTTTCTTTACTTTATTGCAAAAGTAACAGAAAAATGTACTTTTTATAAGAATTTGTGCTTGAACAAAACAGGTTAGGATAAATTTTACTGTCATAATTGTAAATTTACCAAGGTATTTATTTTTGTTCGGTAGTGTAACCTAAAAACATACATTGCACTAAGACCCCTTGCTTCCTTTTTCATTAAACAATCCACAAGAGTATTGCAATATTGATATTGAAATTAGTTGATATTCCTCAACAGTCCACAAATTTACTGAAAATCATTGCTAAAATGCTCCCGGAAAAAAAGCATTTAGAATTTTCTCAGTCAGTCCACAAATTTACTGGGAATCATTGATGAAATGCCCCCGGAAACAAAGCATTTGAAATTTCCTCTGCCCTAATACGAGTATGTCAGTTACAATGACTACAACTTCTCTGATGCATCTACTTCGTGCCACCTTAAAAAATCAAGAAAAGCTTCTTCATTTTCAACTATGCGCGCCGTTTTGGGAACACCTCTAATTTCTTTTCGGTCTGGTAGGACTTGACCGCTCTGGCACCATGGCAATGGCCCTCAATGTGACCTTATAATAGCACGGGCGATTTCTGTCAGGAAGACGTTCGGAAAATATCCTAGCTGCCTCCCTGGCGTTACGCCAACACTTAAACCAAAAAAGGTTATTATCTCCAAATAATCAGCGGCTAATTACATGGTTAAAACTTATTAACTAAAACCACACAATTGACGTCTAACACAAATTCAAACCATTACACTCGTGTACAACCTCTTCGAGGAGAAAAATATTCAAAAATAGCGTGTTATATCAACATATGACAGATGTGAAAATTACAGTAGACCAACTATTTATTGAAGATTCTAGGCAAATTGGTATTATTTTTGTAACCCAGCAACAGATATAATTTTTCAATCCCACCCTGAGTGCCCTAATAACTTTCTTATGCTAACAAAAGTTACTTCTTCAGCTGCACTTTATGGCGACCATTGCCGCCCGCACTTGACATTTTTCTCTGGGGCGCCAGTTTTGGCGCACCCTGTATATTTGCAAATACTATACCTTAATTGGTATAACGCCTCTTTCTTCGCATCTATACCCACCCAGATTTTGCAAGAGGTTATAAGTAGCATGCGATATATGAATTTTGAAAGCTTCGCCAGAACTCTCCATACGTGAAGCTGTGTTTACAGTGTCTCCGAATAGACAATATCTGGGCATTTTTAATCCAACGACTCCAGCAACACAGTGTCCTGAGTGAATACCAATTCTTAGTTGGAGAACTTCGCCTCGTCTGTGCTTAATTTCGAATTTTCGTATATTGCTGAGCAAATGTAGGGCCATTGACGCTATTTCTCCCGCATGGCGATCCCCATTTCTTATGGGCAAACCGCTGACCACCATGTAGGCATCCCCGATTGTTTCCACCTGAAATAAATCTGTGAAATTATCTATGACTTGTCAAAAAGATTTAACAGTTGCTGCCATTTATTACACAATTTTACAAAAACGTCTTTGCAAAGATAAAAAAAATATACAGGGTGCGTCAGAACTCGCGGCCCAGAGAAAAATGTCATAAGGTAAGATACCAGGAACATGGAAAAAATGTTAAAAAAAATTTATCTATAAAAATTTCGAAGTTATGAGGGTTTAAAGTTTACACTTTAACTCTATTTTCTTCTGTTAGAAAAATAATTTTCCAAGTTCTTTTTGCTATAGGCTATTAAAAGAGGAAACAAGGAAGCTGTATCCTAAATTGTAACTCTGTTCAATGTCATTTGTGGCTTTTATTGTCAAAATTTTTGTACAGGATCTTCAGTATCATTAAATAGACATAAAAAATGTCAAATGTCAAAAAATAATTGTCAAAATTTTTTGACAGATAGAATTTTTTAAACATTTTTTTCATGTTCCTGGTATCTTATCTTACTTGAAATTTTTCTCTGGGGCGCGAGTTCTGGCACACCCTATATGTGTGTTGGTTTATTTTTACAGACTCCGGTCCCGACTGTTTCGTATAATCGGGAGTCTACTGTACTTCAATCGTGTCTGTTAACACATTATCAACATCAAAAACTAAGACTTACAACTGAACTCGTGATGTCATGTATTTTTCACCCGAATACCACTCGGTATTCGGGCAAAAACGTGTAATTAATTTCGCGTTCCGCTCGAACTAATTAATAACGTTTTTGACAACCACTCGGAAAATTTTCCGGAAACAATCAACAATGCACTTGGAATATTATAAGTGAAAATCACTAAATCAGAATATCAATAAAAAATTGGTAGCAGCTGACTTCATTTTTATCTTGTTACCAATAACTTTATTAGAAAACTGCCTTGGATTAGTGCAAAATAATTACAAAATCAGATTAAGTGTCCTCGGCCGTACACGAATTCGGCACTACGATTTATCGAAGCAAAGGATTAACTAGATAATTACTTTTCTAATCCGTATAAACATTCGGGTGCTAATGACTCTGTTTTTCCATATTCTTACCTAGAAATATTTGAATTGTCTTATATTCAAAATGACACCTATCCCTACTCATAATAATTGACCAGAATTATTAAAATATGTGAGTTTATACAATTTTCTACATTATTGTACAATTATCTGTATAATGTACATACATCGAGGTTTATAATCATGAATAGTGTAATGAGTGAAACAAGTGAACGTGGTAAAAAAAATATAATTGTGGATGGTGGCAAATTTACCTTTGCAAAAGTGTTAAAGAGCGAAGAAACTTTTTGTAGGTGTTATATTAGAACGAATCCATGAAATAAGCCCACGCGAAAAATGCGCACAAGAAAAAAGCTCATAGAAAAAAGCCCACAAGTTAGATGCCTACCCGGAAAAAAACCCACACAGAAATAAGCCTACATAGAAAAAAACGCACTGAGAAAAAACCTCACATGGAAACAACCCCACACAGAAAAAACCTACACAGAAAAAAACCCACAAAGAAATAAGCCCACTTAGAAAAATACGCACAATGAAAAAAAACCCACCCAGAAAAAAACTCATATGAATAAAAGCCCAACCGTCAAAACGCCCACGCAAAAAAAGCTCACAGAAAACTAACTCACAGGGAAAAACAATCTCTGCTGTCGTGGATGAATTTATAATCGATCAGATGCCAATAAAAATGTTTTAGAATAAAGTTTTGCTGTAATTCTGTTCAAGAAAAGTGTGCATTGCCCAGTTCGAGTGCTTGAAAAATGTCTAATCCGAGGTCTGGTGCCGAATTCATGGGTTCAGTTATACGGTGCCCAATTCATAGCCGCCCGTCTCGTCTCGTTGCGTTCGTTTTGACTTTATTATTCACCAAAACTTTAGCTTCTTGTTAAACGGATTCAAAAATTTACCGAATCATGTTCCAAAAGGTGTACTATTTAGGCGTATGTGATATAATTAGTGTGTTTTGTATAATTAGTGAGAACAGGATTTATTTATACAGGGTGACTATAAAGTATGGAACCAAGCGTTTTTTTTAAATCATTTATCTCCAGAAAATAATAATTAATATAAATTAAACTAATATAAATAATGTGATCGTATTTAGAGAACGAAATTTTGTTTTATTTTTGAGTTGCGATTTTTTTTGGCAAAATTGCACTTTATATAAAAGAATTTTTTGAAAAAAATAAATATAAAGCAGATAGTTGCAATCCTTAGATCATAACCTTTATGAGAAAAATAGTTTTATAACGGGTTGCCATTTAAAAAAAGAAAAAAATCGCAGAACTCAAAAACAAAAGAAAATTTTGAAAAATTTAATTTTTCATTTATTTTCCAAAAAATAAATAGTTTACGCAAAAAACTTACCTCCATATTCACCTGGTATGTAGAAATTTAATTAAGTTTGTTTTATTTAATTTTATTGAATCAAGCTTTTATAAAAGCTTTTATAAAATCAAGATTTAAATTTGTTATTTTGCTTTGGCAAAATTTTATTTTAATACAATTTGGAGAATCGTTGCAAAAATATTAAAATTAACCTCCACATTATAACATTTCGACGTGTTTTGTTAAATTTGTGTAATTTTTGTTTATATTTAGTTCTTTAACGAAAACCAAAGAAAATTTTGGTAAATTAATACAGTAAATCACAAAAACGTGTAGGATCTACTTTTTCAGAAGTTTTGTTCCATTATTTATTTTAGGAAATTTCAAAAATGCACAAAACAAATATCTTTACTACGGTCAAGAGAAGACAAATTTTAAGAAACAGTTGAATAAACAAAAATTAAATGAAGCGAAGCAGAAAAATAAATAGAAAATTTGTAATTTAAATTATCTAACTTACTTTATAGACATCGTAATGAGAAATAATCGAGTCGAAACACGTGTAAAGGTCATTGAGCAAATCTATTACTTGTAGAGGTGTGCTAACTGCAGACAGTTCGGTAAAACCAACAATGTCACTGAAGTAAATTGTAACACAATCGAAACTTTCCGCTTCAACACGATCACCCCTTTTCAGAGCTTCTGCAACAGACCTAAAATATATTTCTACTAATTTAAAACCACTTTCATCTTGAAACGTTACTTAGGTAGCATTCTATGAAGTAAAGCTTCGGTTTTCTTCTTTTCTTCAGTTAACTGGTTAGTTCTTTCCTGTACTAATCCCTCTAAATTGTAAGCATATTTTTCCATAATAGCTAACATGTTATCAAAAATGTTTGGTTTAAGACCAGCTTGCATCTCTTTAAGTCTAACTCTAACAAATCTAATATCAGGTCTTTGGTCAGGTTCTTCGTGCCAGCAAGCTTTCATACATTTGATAATATAATCTGCAGCTCCTAAATTTTCAAGAGGAGGTCGGAATGGTGTTTCTTTAACTTCAATAACTTGTCGTACAATTTCTAATAACAAATAAATGTAAACCTTTGGTGACCAAATGAGTAAAGTTACCTGATGGTTCCACATTTGTATCACCCCAAGGTCCTCTCCGTCCAATAATTTCGTACAAAACGATTCCAAAAGAATAAACGTCGCCTTTTTGTGTACCTCTAGGAGGTGGTGAAGGATCTCTTAACAATTCTGGTGCCCGCCATAGAGACCTTTTCAAATTTTTACTTTGTGTTTCTGCACCTTCAGGACATGCTTTAAATTCATGTAAACCAAAGTCGGTAATTTGCAAAACCCATCTGCTGTCAATTAAACAGTTGCTCGATCTTAAATTACCATGCGATATTATGTCGCTATCATGCAGATAAATCATGCCCTTAAAAAACAGCAGTTCTAAAACTCTCTTGAGAAAAAAGTAGGTAGCTACCTTAAGAATGTCTGTAACCAAAGAAGAAACAAACATGTTGTCCAAATGAAGATCCTCATTTGCCAAAACATCTTCAAGACTACCTCTTGCACTATAAGCCGTCAAAATTGCCACATTCCCATGATCTACGCTTGCACCAATAAATGGTATAAGATTTTCATGTCTAACTTCTCGAATTTGTTTCAGTTCTTTTCTTATAGATCTGGTAAGGTCGACAGATCTTTTTTTCAAATATTTTATTGCAACTATGTTGCCCTTATATAAACCAATATCAGTGTAAGCTCTTTTTGGTGAGGATTCCGCCAATTCGGCAATACTGCTGCTTGGAGCTTGGAAAACACTGTGGCGGCAAACTTGAATCTGTATGATTATAATAATTTCAGAAATAATTTTAAGAAATGATTTAGATATTAAAATTTGTTAGACTAACCATGCTTTTGTTGGACAATTCTGTTGTTTCTGTAGGAATTATTGTTACGTCTCTCATGTCAATTTTCCACAAGAGACAAGCAAGTTTATGTTCATAACGATAGTGCCTGCAATTTTTAGTATTAAATATTATAAGGAATTTGCAAAAAGTTATCAACTTATCACTAGATAATCAAATAAAATAAAAAATAGGTAAAGGTGTTATAAGAAAAATGTTACATACGTAACAAAAATTTTATTCTAGTGTGGAGAGTCACTTAGTATTTAAAGTGACTGTAAAAAATAATACACGATGCGCCAAAACTCGCGCCCCAGAGAAAAAGGTAAGGTAAGGTAAGATACCAGGAACATGAAAAAAATGTTAAAAAAAACTTTATTTATAAAAATGTCGAAGTTATGAGAGTTTAAATTTTGCACTTTGACTCTATTTAAGTATTTATTTCTGTGACAAAAATACTTTTCCAAGTTTTTTCCTACAAGCTATTAGGAGAGGAAACAAGGAAGCTGTATCCTAAATTATATCTTTGTTTAATGTTATTTGTGGCTTTTATTAGCAAAATTTTTGTACCTTTATTTAATAATTATAGAAAACATTTTTTTCATGTTCCTGGTATCATATCTTAAATGAAATTTGTCTCTAAAACGCGAGATCTGGCGCACCCTGCATAGTGACAAAAGAATCTATTGTTGACATTGAATTATTACTGGCAATCCTTATAGTCTGTGATAGATTGTTGTAGATTGTCGTAGATTGTTGCGTCTGGACTTAAAGACCCACTTATTTTGAAAACTCTTTTCTATGTAAAATCTAGACTTGAATCCGGAAAGCGTCTGTGATTTGGAATTATTTTAACTATCAAAAAGCCAATTTTGCCTAAAATTTGGCAAAATTTAAATTGAATACATTTGGGTTTACATTCTCGTATTTTCTCACTGGATAGCAAGTTAGTTTTTTTTTAATTTTTCTCGATGAATGTAATGTCAGTCATATTTGTGAACTGGAATTTGCAAGATGCGAGATTAAACAGGAGTATTTTTAATTTTACAAGTTTGCCGCAGAAATAATCAAGGTAACATTTACTTAATAGTTCAAATAAGTTTTTGGTGGAAAAATATTTTTTATACAAAATTGCTTTAAATCATATTCTTACATCATTTATTACGGCAACTGTATTCCAGAGCACTTATGAACGTATTGAATTGTACTGAAAATTTATTTAGCATCTTCTTTAATATGGATTAGAGTTTATCTTGTTGACCTTTGACATTATCTCCTCTTCAATTTTTATATGCGCTGGGTGGGCGCTGCGCCCACCTGTCAAGTTTAAATTATGAATTTCATTTTTATTTCCCCGCATCGAATTTTCTTTACTCTTGAGACTATAATCTCGTTTTTTTGTTACTTTATTTTAATGTACCATCGATGGACATAAAAAACTGGGACAAGCACGAAGTCAAAAAATCAAATAAAGTTATAAAAATTATGGCGAACTATTGTCAGAGACATCAAGTTACATTTCAGGTACTCCATCTCGAAGGCATTGTTTGCTTTCGATAAAAGAGTTAAAGTGCCAATTTTTTTAGATGCCAATTAAAAAGGTTGATACACAATGAACAAATTTTGGATGTCCCAGTTTTTTATATTCACCGACTATACATATTAATATTAAACCAAAAATAAAATATGTATTTAATACTTACTTTACACAAAAAAGTATTCCGATAAGAATAATGAGGGACATTAAAGACACACTTGCGAGGAACCGCCAGTCGATTTTATAGATACATTTCTCACCGTTGAAACCACATAAAGGTTCTGCCCTGGGCAGCTTTCCACCTACCCATTGGATCGGGCGATCGACGTCTAGGTATCGGAATTCCTGCAACAGAACCAAAATTATCATGAAAGAATCTCTTTGAACAAATTTACCCTTACGGGGAGTGCTGATGGTACGTTACTTCCATTGGACTTATACTGAAAATAACCCACTGGTTGCATGCTCATCCGCAGCGTTCCATTCATTTCTTGGTCGTCAAGCAAGGCGACTACTGTAAAGTTTCCTTCTGCATCACCATTCCCATCGATGAAAACCTGAGTAATTTAACATTTTTTAGATTATATTTCGGTCCAGAATGTGTTAATTCTAGTGAAAGAGTAAACGATCGTACATCATATCCTTGTATAGAATGATAAGATCTATTGACTATTCGACGGAGAACTGCTGTTCCATTCCGTGGATCTTCGTTGTTTTGAAAGACTTCAGTCAAAGCTCGAGCAAAAATCATAACGGCGTCGTATAAATAAGCTGCTTGGATAGGGACCTAAAATATAAACAACTTTACTTATTTCTTGCCTGGGTTATCAAGTTTTGTCATTTTTACACGTCGTATACAAAATCTTTAAAAAATTCATATTTCAAAAAGTAAACAGTGGTAAATATATACGGCTATTTAGTTGACATTGAGATGTATTAGATTGCGTTTGTGATTTACATATTGGCCGTGTGTCGTTCAGTACTTTTCGTTATACTAAAAGACTTTGGTAAAATTATTATTATTGAAAATCATAATATCAAACTTGACGCAAGTAGTGTACTTTTTGTATAACAACATGCGTACCAACGTCCGCTAATAGCTTTTAACGGCCTAGGCTGTTATCGTTGCCATAACAGGCATGAAGACAGTACGAATAAAATCCAATAACTATCAAGTATCACGAAAAAATAATATTAAGCTGCTCGGTGTAGTACTTTTTGAATACATACTTTTTTTACTTATTTTGATTTATGTTTTTTTTTTTAGGTAATTACGTTAGGAAAACGAGACTTTCGTTCACAAATGACAGAACTCCAAATGTCATTGTTATATCATGAAAAAAAGTACTATTATTCATTAATTTTCTTTATTATTTATTTTTACAAGTCACAGCATGTTTATTTATTAAAAAAAAACGACGCAAAATATCAAATATTTGTGCATACACGTATTTAGAAAAACATGTTCTATTCAAATTTATATCCAAACATACATATATTGTCCTGTTAAAAAAAGACAGTTGCCTATCGTTATTTTGACACATGTAATTTGTACGCCAGTTTGACAGAGGCATTTAATGTATAACTCAAAAGAAATCATTCTGGTGGTGTTAAAGATTCTTTGCTTCAAGTTACGGTGTGGCAAATGGGCTTCTGTAGTTCTGTCCAGCAGTGGGACAGCACTAAATAAATAAATAAATTCACGCATTAATGAATTCGATTGACGAGCTGGTAGGTGGCTGGAGAATCTGTGAATTTTTGCTGGAAATTTTCCAACAAATTGTAAGTGAAAATGACCATTCACTATTTTCGTCTTGTACAGCATTTTTGTAATAACTTGCAACAATAAAAATTTCTGCTCTAAAGTGAACATTATTTCACTCAAAATGAATAAAACGAACTTGTCAAAGTTTCCGCTGACATTTGAAGTTGCCATCTGAAGGATGTTAATCACCGCCTACTCTAATTTTATTTTTTTGATCGCATTGTACTTACTTAATTAAGCCGATTTAGGTTTAAATAATCGATGGTCTTATTTACAAAACATTGCGTCAATTTAAAAAAATGAAGAAAATGAAAGTCAAAACAACATGGCCAACAAACAGCAAATCAAGCACAATTTGCCAGACGCGCCTAAGGCTTTCCGCCAATCGCACAACCTCTTACGTTATTTTCATATTTTCACACGTGTGGATAGGAGAATAATCGATTCGTTTGATATCGTCAACTTTCGTAGGTAATTCGGTGTATCGAAACAGTTATTTTCGTATAGGGTCGTGGGAAACATAACATAAAAAGCAGTAATGAAAAATTAATTTCTTACCGATATACTATCAAAAATCTTATGGTGGTATGGAACACAAAAAGGTGGTTTGGCTGAAGAAGCTTTAATCTTTTCACATACATACCTAAAACAAAAGGAGGCTTGTAAAAGATTTAAAAAAGTTATCAGTTTTTTAACTTACTTATACTTTGGGTTTCTTGGATGAGACGGCGTGAGTTTGAGTACTGATCTAAAACCCATTACGTCACTGACGTTACCCCACGTTTCATTCAGAAAGGGATCGAGATAATCTGCAGCACAATTTGTGGTAAAACATGAATAGAATGCAGTCACAAATTTAAATTAGCTTTACCTCTTCGCATGATTTTGATTCTTCGGTTGGGGTCGTATATTTCGTCGTCAACGGAAATCACCACGTAATCCCCCGTGTCCAGAAGTTTACGCCGTTGTAAACACTTGATGAAGTCTATTAAGGCAATATGCTCACCGACGAAAACATAGACTAAAAAGAAAGGAAAAAGATATTACATTTCCTTCAGTTTTTAAAATGATATTTTGTCCGGGGTGAAAGTCGTAGGTGGTTCTACAAGTAATTGAAAAACTTGATGAAAAGTTTGCAATTATGAAAAATGCACATAAAAGGTAATCCGAGAGATAAAAATTGTGTCGTTTCAAAAATTAATAATTCATTTACGGTTGAACGTTTTTAAACTCTCGAAAACACTTTTCCTTCTGCGGAAAAACAAAATGATGTAAGAAAATTTGATGTGCCCTATTATTATGGATGTTAAAGATGTAGGCCAAGGATACTGGTTATAATAGAACAGAATTTTCCGGGTTAAGCAAAAATTCTGCAAAAAAAAAACAATGCAGTGTTTATACAAAATAAAAATATTGTCTATTTTTTATTATATGCGCGTGGATCAATTGGTCATTCCAACAACGTTTTTATATCTCTTTTCAACATTTGTAAATACAAATAGCCTCGTTGCTCTCTCGCTATTATCGTATCAACAAGAAATTACTCCCTAGGATTTTGGGATATTTGTGAATAGGTTGCCATAAATTTGATTAGGTTGGTTTTTAGTAACAAACAAAAGATATCGTAACCAGTGTCAAAATTTAGCTTAAGTCGCCTGTCAGCTTGTATGGAATTCAGTTGATAGTTGACAGCAGGTTGACAGAAAACGTCAACCGTCAACTACAAGGGGTAACCAACTCTAAGCATTCAAAATTACTTCTGAAAATTCTAGTTACAAACAACATGAAAAACGTAATTTTCCTAAAACGTCAAATCCTAGGTGGTAATTTCTTGTTGACAAATCTATACGTATTTACGTAAGGTCGGTCACGTTATTTCACTTTAACAAATGCGATTAAAGTAACGCAGAGCTAGTGACGTATGTACAGTCGAACAAAGTGAAAATGACGCCGTAAGCAATAAACCAGCCACTGCTGTGGATGCCGACCCTTCTAACCACAAGCAGGCAGGGTGGTAAAGTATCGCATTGTAAACTTGACGTAGTTTTAAGATAAATTCCTTTAGGACCCGGTTTACAGAAAGCGAAATGAAAATTTAATTCAGAACTAAACTAATTCGAATTAAGTTGCCATTTATTTTGAATTGACAAACATCTAATTAATTAGATGAAAAATAAAAAATTTAACAAACCATTTCTTAAAGAAAAATATAAAATATAAAAATTATATATTAAATATAAAACAAATCATTAATAATAATTTTTTTAACTGTTTTTTCAAGATAAAATTAAGTTAATCGCGAATTAAAATTTAATTGGTATTAACACGTTCTGTAAATCGGCCCTAAGTTTTCTATTAGTGTTGTAATTGTAATTGAAAACGAATCAAAATTATTTATTTAACCAGGAAAAAAACCGCTAAATTATTTGAAATATTTTAGTTCTGATACAAAACTAATTTTTTGATAATTGTAATTCTTTTAAATTAAATAAAAATGTTTAGTTTTTTTAAATAAGCATCTTAAGGAAAAACTATTTCTTAAACAAAATTGTGGATTAATAAGATGAAATTGACAAAAAACAAATTATTATTAATGTAATACATTTTACATGTTTTTGTTTTCCAAAATTAAAATAAGTAACATAATTTTTGTACGAAATAGGCTTTCTCTATTTTAAACTTGATTTTATGTAAAACAATAATGTTTTAAATGATTTATAAAATAACTTTATTTTGGAAAACAGTTAAAAAAATTATTAAATTAATAATGATTTGTTTTTTCGTCAATGTCATCAGTAATGTATAATTTTTTTCAAAATGGTTTGTTAAATGTTTCATTTAACTTTTCCATTTAACTTGACGTTGGCAATGCACAATAAAGGCGACTTAATTCGAATTAGTTTAATAATTGTGAACTAAATTTTCATTTCGCTTTCTGTAAACGGCTCCTAAAGGAATTTATCTTGAAGTGTTCTTGATTCACACTTCCCCCACTCCACTCATCTCCACTTGCATTCTCTAATCTATGTCCCCCACCAGCAAATAAAAAATAGACTTTATGTCGTCTACATACGGGCTATGTTGCCATGGTGGTAAGACTTATTACACTTGCTGCAAATGGGAAACAAAATTTTCGTTTTATGTAGGATATTCTTCCACAAGAAAATCACTACAGCATCAAGTAAATATCACCCGACGTCTGAAAAGTTCGTGTAGTATTTTTCTACCATAGGTTGCAAGTGGATGCATGTTTTGATGAGTTACTTTAACAATTGATTGCTAATGGTTATGAAGCCTTATAGAGTTTCGTAAATGACCTCTTTAATAAATAAAATAGTACGTAATAGGTGTTTGACCGTATTTTCCTTTTTATTTGAGTTTTTAATTAACTCTAGAGATAAAGCTTAGCTGCTCGCGTTTCTTTATTAATCCTTCCATTTTAATAATATGCTTACTTTAATCTTTTTATAAAGGCCAGTAGGCATTTAGGGTACATACCTATTATTTGGGACTCTTACCAAACGCTTCAATTTTTACAAATACCTACACTCAAACACTGGCTTTTAAAAGAATGGTTTCTTGATTCATACTGTTTATTCCAGACTTCTAAAAGAGATGCCATACCATACGAATTGAATAAAAACTATAAGGTTTAAAATAAGTGTCATTCTTAGCATGATGGCATGGATTTACAGCCTTAATTTTTCAAGAGAGCACCAGAAAACTTAAACATATCCACAAATTGAAAAGGCGTAATTTCTTCTTTTCTTATTATCGTCTACGGAAAAAATAACATTTTTAAAAAGTTCAAATAATGCACAATGTAGTGGATGGCACTGCGTTCGGCAAAACAAACATTCCGATTCGCCACATAAACTTATCACTATCACTCCTAATAACATATTATACTATTTTCCTTATAAAATCAATGTTTACATACTTTTTTACATAAAGTCCATTTTTTTTTATTCGCTGCTGGGGGAAATGTGAAGCAAAAACGCGACATGACTTCCGCTGTTTTTGACATTTGACATTTTGGTACTTAAGTCAAAAATTAAAGTTTCTTCCTGACATTAGATTTATATTTATAAGACTTAAATTACGATTGTTATTATGATATATTGAATACAAATATTAGCCTTAAAACAGTTTTCCTCATTACAAATACCTACTTGACGCCAAGATACATTTGACGTATGTCACTAGACCTGCCTTACTTTAATCGCATTTGCTAAAGTGAGATAAATAGCGTGACCGACCTTACACAAATACGTAACCACAGAGCAACGAGGCTGTTGCCAACAAATGTTGAAAAGAGGTAGCCATAAGTACATCTTGCGAATTATTAAATGATCTACACGCATATAATATGTATGTACGTATAATAATAAAACGGACTGTACATGAATTATTTGAAAACATGTTTCTATAGGTACTTATAACCATTACTACTAAAATAACAAATTAACTGTTTAAAAGTTTGTTTTTATATTAAAAACTTCTTCACAGGTATTGTACCCTCTCAACTTTTTCTTCGTTCTGATACAAATTAACAAGTCGACGTATGAATTTTAGAGCTTGAAAACTAATGCATTATCCTTTTGAAATAAAGAAGCAAGTGGGAGTGCGAGACCAGAAAAACATGAAGAAGTACGCAAGCTTTTTTATTTACTTTAATGCAAAATTAATAGAAAAATGTACTTTTTAGAAAGGGAGTCACGTTATGTTGAAATTAGTTGATATTATTGACAAACCACATGATTCCTCAAAAGACCAGTCCACAAATTCACCGAAAAGCGTTGCTGAAATGCCCTCGGAATTAAAACATTTGGATTTTCTTAAGTAGTCACTGAAATCAATGTTATTTCCGGCATCAAAAATGCAAATTTTTCGTAACAATACAAACATCGCAACATTCTTCTGGATTTTTTTAATGAAAAAGCAACCAAGGGGTTATAGTAAGCTCATGTGAGTGGAAGAAAACAATAATGAATTGTAATTTGCGAAATTTTGAGGTTAGAATTTCTCTACTGGGCAAAAATGCCTAAATACGAGAGTGAAAGAACAATACCTGTGAAGAAGTTTTAGAGAAGTCCGTTCATCAGGAATTTCCAGAATGTTTGGGAATCGTGTTTTCAAAATAAGTTTTGATAATCGTTGATAATAATTAACGATTCTGTCTCATTATACTCGTGTACCTACAACCTTTTCAGGGAGAAAAATTCGAGAAAAATACTGGAAACTAGCAGGTTATGTCACTCACAAATGTGAAAATTACAGTAGACCAGCTATTTATTGAAAGTACTATTTATTGGTACTATTTTTGTAACCTAGCAACGGATATAATTTTTCAATTACACCTTGATGAGTTGCGCTTCTGGGATTGGTGAATTTAAGAGTCTAATAACTTTCCTATGCAAGCAAACAATACTTCTTCGGCTCACGTTTTGGCGACCTATTGCCGCTGGCACTTGACATTTTTCTCTAGGGCGCGAGTTCTGGCGCAGCCTGTATAATTAATGTATTTCTGATGATTGAGACGAGTGATTTAGTTAATTTTTTGTGTAAAGGTCTATTTTTTAGGGCTTAACAATATATTATTTTTCATCTTCAGCAAATTATATTAACACTAATTGAGTCTTCACCTTTTAAGTTATCTAAATTTAAAATCCTTTGGCAAATAACAAAGATATTAGACCCAAAAGTTTAACATGGGACAGTTGACATAGTTGACAGATTGAAAGCTGCCACCGCCTGCAGCATCAATGCGGATTATGGATTATGGCGTTTATAGTTTTCTTGAAAAATTGCCAAAATTATTTTTATCACTTATTATGGGTCGCAAACAAGTTGTGGAAGTCAATGGATTTCAATCAAAGCCTTTTGTAGCTGATAGTGGAGTGGTTCAAGGTTGGAACCTGGACCCAACACTATTTTTATTGTATATAAATAATGTTAAAGATTTATTAAGTTCCAACTTGTATATTTATGCTGATTAAATTGGCAAGAGTCATTAACAGTGAGGATGACTGCAAAAAATTACAGTATGACCTAAATTTCTTAGTTTCTTGGTGCTTGGAGAATAAGTTGACGATTAACATAGATAAATTCAAGTTCATGACCTTTACTAGGAAAAATGCCACAATCAATTTTAATTACACAGTATTAGAAAATAACTTACAAAGATGCTTTACAGTCTTTGGGGGTTATACAGAGTGTTTCACACAACTTTACGAGGCTTGCGCCTAATGTACGCACCCAAATATACAAAAGTCACAAAACACTGGATACAAAAAATATACATTTAATTATTTAATTTTTGGGAACCCATGACAGTAGTTGTCAAACTAATCATTGTTTTATTAATAGTCATAAACTGCAGTTTTTCAGAAACAATTATCATTTCTTCTATTAAGAGATGACACGAATATGATTCTAGTTTATCTATTTTAATCACTAACTCACTAAAAACGTTGTAATTTTTTAAACGATGAACAAACTAGAGAAGATTATCCAATTTTTCAAAATTTGTAATCGAGTTCCTGTCGGAATATGTATTATTGATTTTGATAATGGGTTTTATCTTCGTAACACAAACACATTCAAAAATATTTCTTGTATTAAAAAACTGTACCATGCTTTTGTAAAGGAGTCATCAGTGTTCGTCTTATAATATATACAGGCTGCGCCAGAACTCGCGCCCCAGAGATAATTTTCAAGTAAGGTAAGATACCAAGAACATGAAAAAAATGTTTAAAAAATTCTTTCTTTCAAAAAATTTTGACATTTATTTTTTGACATTTGACATTTTTTATGTCTATTAAATGATACTGATAATCTTGTATAAGTTTTTTTACAATTATTTAGTAAAGGTACAAAAATTTTGCCAATAAAAGCCACAAATAACATTGAACAGAGTTACAATTTATGATACAGCTTCCTTGTTTCCTCTTTTAATAGCCTATAGCAAAATAACTTGGAAAATTATTTTTCCAACAGAAATTAATAGAGTCAAAGTGCAAACTTTAAACTCTCATAACTTCGAAATTTTTATAGATAAAATTTTTTTAACTTTTTCTCCATGTTCCTGGTATCTCACTTTATATGACAGTTTTCTCTGGGGCGCGAGTTCTGTATAGTGAGATGATTAAAAACATTCAGAAAAAGTTTTGTAAATATCTTTATAAGATGGCAGATGGCCTCCAAGACACTATCCTTACAATCAGCTTTTAACAGAATTTGAGTTGAAACCTCTGTCTCTCTTCGTAGAATTGTTCATAGTCAGGTGTTTTTGTATAAGCTCGTCATCGTCAATAATGTCATTAACTGTTCTTTCTTGCTCTCGTGTTTGTGTTTTAATGTCAAACGTGTAAGTAAACAGTAAAATTTCTGCATGCTTCAAAAATCCTTTCCCAGGAGCACGTGCAAGCTTCACAACTTTTTTCTATCCAAGTTATAAGCTTGATTTTTTTTAAACGATAGGTTCTATAATGAAGCACATTTCAAAAATATTTTTATTTAATTTGTATAATTGTAATTTTGTAATTGTAATTGTAATTTTTGTTACATTTTGAATTCGCCACTAAATTGTCGATATACCTAACGCACCCAGTTTCTTAGAATTATCTGCAATAGTTTTTGACTTATGACAATTTATGTGTCAAAATAGCGCCGTGCATAGATCCACAGTAAAATTCATAATATGAACTATTCAAGATAACGTAACCCATTTTGTTCCAGTCCATTCCTTAAATTTTAGCGCATCTTTTGAGATACAGTCGAACTCTGAGTCCATGTCGCCTACTACGATTTTTTGAAAGTGACAAATTACAAATGGCAATAACCTGACTTTTTCAAATACAACACACCCTATGTTTTATTGCATCATTGCATGGCAATTTTTATGAGCTTTTTGTCGATATAGGGTTTGTGAGATTTCTTCAAAATGAGAAACGTTGATGTTTTTTTTTCATACAATTCTGAAAAGAATATGTTTCAACAAAATGAAATTGTAATAGAAACAAGAGTAAATCACAAAGGAAACAGTTTTAATAATCTTTATAAAGAACAGGAAAGGATAATTGAAAGGAAACAGTATAAAAATTTTGAGAAAGTTCTAGTTATAGAAAATGCTCAAATAAGTCACTATCATGTTCTACACAATCTGCTAGTCTTCTAGTAAATGAGGTCCGAACTTTAGAAGGCGTTGATTCCTCTGTTAAATGGAAGGCTTGAGGCTTCTGTCAAAATTTACGACAGTGGCCTATTACATTCCTTATTTCCGAAAAAAATCAACATTTGTTATTTTGCTACAAATTTTACAAAGTTACAAAGTCAAGTTAGCACCCCTAATATAATTTCAATCATGGAATCCCTATCATCGCTGTGCAAAATTCAAAACCTAGTGTGTAAAATTGTGCAAAATTATTGTATTATTTATATTTAAAAATTCTAATTGGGGGTGCTAATTTCACTAACCCATTTCTTGAGGTCACTTTTGTTATGATTTTTTACGAAATCTATAGGACAAATGATTTCCGAGGTACAGTCGCTAGCTGACCTTATTGGGACACTCGTTATATTTATACATCATTCTCGCAGATGTCTCAAAAATAATTGAAAGAAATAAACCTATAGTTTCAATGCAACAAGTAGAAACTCATTAATTGTTTGTTTTATTTAAAAACGTTTCATTTCATTCTAAAGAGACAGCTGAAGTGCAAGTGTCGTATAGTTACTATAGAAATGCACAAATACCATGCAATTTTCCACAATACAATATTACAAGTGACTGAGAATAAATTAAAATTGTTTGACAAAACTTTTCAAAAATGTGTTGCCAAACAGTTGCCCTAAAGCCCGCTTTCTATTTAAAATAATGAAGTTTATACCCACTTCCAGTGTATTCGGACGAGCCGCTATTAATGTGCATCGAAGTAGTCGTTGAAAGAGATCATTTTAAGGTAGCAACCATGCGAAAATTCAAACAATCCTAACCTCTATCATCCCTAAAAATTATTTTTTCAGATAAATGTGTGGGTACCCCACCAAAAAAATAATTAAAATTAACAACGTAATTAACATAGGATAGCAAACATCGATTTTTGTCATTATTGATGTGATTAAGTTTGTGCTGAATGACATTGACACTTTTTGTGTGAATCGGCCTTTAAATTAAAGATGCATTTAGATTTAGACTGCTACAACCTACTTGATGTCTAGCCGCCGGAACAGTCTATATAAATTTCTGGGAAAATGTGTGCTTGTCATTGATACAATCTAACTCTCGTTATACTTCAATTAATTCCGCGGTTATGTGGTAAGTAGAAAATTCTCACTATAAGTTTGTTTTGATTGACTAAAACTTACACAAATGATTGAAACAGAAAGTTTCCATTGGTTTCTGGAAACGTAAAAAAATAAGAAATTATATTTTTCAATGTTACCAACGTAAGTTCAAAGTCATAGGCCATTTTGGTTTAAAACGTAAACAAAAATAAAAAATGTTAATAAATAATTTTAGCTTACCTCGTGTTTTCATATATGTATCCGCAACAATGTTATCCATCTGCTCAATGTAATGAGGTATGTAGTCTGAATACTGCTTTATATCAGTAACAGTTAGTCCGTGAATGATGGAGAGCTCCTGAAATTCAAAATTGTATCCAGATATACAGGGTGTCAATTTTAAAAGTTGCAATCGGCAATATTTCTTGAACTGAAAAAAAAGTTATTGAGAACTTCTCAAAACCGTTTTGGTGGTTCCTTGGGGGAATCAAAATGACATGGTAACGCACCTCCACGCAACCTTGACCCCAAGATAGAATTTTTAAATGGCACTACCCTACTTCTGATACATCGTTGGAAAGCTCACAACAAGCGCTTTTTAAAAATGTCATTCAACACCTTATTTGATAAAGACGTTTTCTAATTATTCAAAAACAAAGACTTTTTTACATACTCAAGAATGGGTGGAGGTGCGTCACTTACCATATAATTTTGATTCCCCCTAGGAATCACTGAAACGGTTTTGAATAATTCTCAATAACTTTTTCAGTTCTAGTGATATCGCCGATTACAACTTTTAAAATTAATACACTGTATATATTTGTGTTATAGACCTTTTTACGGTAGCGATGTTTACGCGTTGATTCAGAAAAAAACACGATTTTTATTTAAATTTCAATAGAAAATCCGTTCGACAACCTTAATTATAATGTCACAGGATCAAGCAACACACAATCGTAATTAACTTTTCCAATAAAAACGTTTAACAAGACGAGGTTATTCACATTAATATATTGACAGATCTATCAGAAGCAGAATATCGTTGCTGCCACCAGAGTAAATATTTTCTCGTGGAAGTTTGATAACTTGTGCACACCAATTTTTTTTTGGTAAATATAACGTGAAATTGTTGAGATAAAGTAATCGAAAATTATGGAGTCGACGTTATTATACATTCAAGATAAGTAAACAATGCGTGCCTCGTAAATGTAATGGTGTTTACATTCAGGATACACCCACCTCGATTGCCTCCTGGACTTCGGTGGCAGAAGCTGGATGCGTGCCAGAGACAACCACGAAGCGATGCCACTGGAAAGCTCTTAATAAAGCCACGACGCTTTTAGATACTTTGCTAGATGGTGGCAGAGTTCTAGCGAAAGTAAAGAACACCTTTTTGTCAGAGACACGAGTATCGCTGCATTTCTGAAAGCAAACAAATTGTATTCGTTTTAATTTTTGAAGTTAGAAAAGAAGTAGAATGAGGGAGAGAAAAATGTCAACGTAACACAGAAAAATATTAGTTTGATTTTTACAGAAAACTGCCCCATACCAGAAAACATTTACTAAATTTAATCTCTTTTTTAATATTAGAACAACTTTGTTAGTTAGTTTCTCTTTATTCTGTTTTAAGTAATTGTAAGAACGTTTTTGTCCACGCCTTTGTTATAATATGAGTACAACATTTTAATTGTGTTACTGCAATTACATAGGATGGTTTTGAAATAATAGGCAAAATTTTACAGTGTGATAGATCAAAGCAAACAGAACAGAAAATAAACTGTTACTTACTTAACTCGCTATCACAAAGTTTCTCATTACAATTGTGTTAATTTTATTTTTCGAGTAACATTTATTTTAATGTATTTTTTTACAAAATATTCTTGGAAAATGATTTTTTCAATTCAAATATTAGTCTGCAACGTTAAAATAAAGTCTAAGGAAACGGATTTTTTAAAACAGCGAATAATATTACGAGTATACAGCAAGTTATATGCAAATTGTATTTAATCTGAGTAATGGTGCGCCTTACAAAAAAATTAATAAGATATTTTTATTCTATATATCATGACCTAACATCCTGTAAAATTTCGTATATTATTTCAAAATCAGTTACTGTATCCTTAAATCACTGCTTTTCTAAATAAAGTTGGCCGCAAAATACCATTTTTATTAATTAAATTAAAACGTCCAGTTCTTCAATACCATAAACCAAGCCGAAAATAAAAAATTGTCGTGGACAAAGTTTAGTATTCTACTTTTATACAGGGTGTTTCGTTTTTATTGTTACAAATTTAAATAGGTGATAGAATATATATTTTAAGACAAAAGTTTCCTATGAACATGTATAAAAATGTTATGTAAGACAGCTACACCCCCTGAAAGAAATGCGTTTTTTAATACAGTTTTTCCACTATTGCAGAATGGATAAAATTACAAAAGTTGATACAGCTGATAATCTTTAAACACCTGAGATTTTTTTATGGTTTGTAAGACAAACTGTAAACTGATTTTACTCAAAAACGGTAAGTTATATCGAAAAAACGCAAGAGACCTTTGAAACTATAGAATTTAAAATTTTGTGGCTGAAAGTAGCAAGAACCAAACGCCAAAATAGTTAGAGTAATTCTTACCCTAAACCCCCCCAGTCTAGTACGCCCCTGAATAAAAATTTCGACATTTTATTCTTGAATTCGTTTGGGTGTATAAAGATTATAAGTTGTACAAAATTTTGTATTTTGTATTTGTCTTTTCTACGTTATTTGATTCCGACAACAAAATTATGTAGGTAATATACGAATATTAAAGAAAGGAAAAAAAAAGTATGAAAATTAAAAGTTTGATTAAGAACGAAACACAAAATTGTTATCTATTAAATACTAATATAATATAATACTACTTATACTCATAATCTGACAAATTTATAATTTTGTCATCGGTACTTGAAGCAACAATATTTTTTTTGGGTACATACACTGGCCGTCTTGTCTTGTAAATAATAATAGTAACGGGTGTTATTTTTGCGTTAAAGCTATCCATGAAAGTTTGATTGTGAACGAACCATCGTATTAAAAGTTATTAATTAATCTGACATTTGACACCTCACCGGGTGTATTAAAAATTGTGTCCGTTTATAACTCCGCCAACTATGACGCCAAATTTAAATAAACACCCGTTATATTATGTTATTAGGAGTAAAAGTGATAGTTTATGTGGCGAAACTGAACGTTTATTTGGCCAAATGGAGTAAGGCAAATGATTCAGTTGAGCCACATAAACTCACTTTTACTCCAAATAACATATACTATAGAAAAATCGTTCTTTTAAAACATACTAAAAATTTTATGACACATTATAAGGGATTAACCAAACAATGGCTTAAATTTGCAAGTGTTGCTGCAACCACCAGAACAAAACAGGGCCGTATTTAAACCAAAGTAGTGGTAGAGTTTTACCAAGCTATTACACTAACCGGCAAAATTATCGCTTCACATGGGAAAAGTGATTTTTTATTCAAATAATGTTTAAAAAAATAAATACATCAAAAATTAATTAATTAACGTAAAGTTTACGACTTAAACTTCAACAATTAAACTACAATTTAATGATTGTCAAAAGAAACAAAAAAGCGAATTTCGTGCGGATAACTTCTTTAGTTTAGATAAGCTGTTCTCACATTCGGAGGCAACCAATAATACCTAGTATTGCCTCTTCAAACCTTGAAAGAAGTTCAATTTGTTATTGTTGTTTCTCCGAAATTAAAGGTTATTTTGATAATTTGACCCTTATTACTGAGTAAATAAAGAATCTACACCAATTGTTTTTGAAAAATCCATAGTCCACTGAGTTTCTTGATAATGCTACTATCCTATATCATCAATTTTAGTACTATTTTCACAACCATTTAGCCATTTTAAATCTTAAAATTTAAGCGATGCGATAATCATGCCGGTGTATAAAAATAAATAGCTTGTTATTAACCACCTGGCTTTTTTAAGTTTCTTAAAATACTTGATTTAATAACATCAAATATTTTAAGTATTTTTGACAAAAAGAAAGTAAATAATCCGGCCCTGTTAAAAACTGATCTGTTTCTCTGGTTTCTCGGTCCGTGTGGGTTCCACTGGTTTATGATATGTTTACCCTCTAGTTTACTCTTAACAATACCGCATTTAACTTAAAAGTAATAAAAATTTTAATGGGTCTAAGCAAAACGTCTTTTCTGTATTTTATCCACTAGTGGAATAAAGTAACTTTATTCCACTGTTAGTAACCAGCGCACCGCGTAACAGCTTACTAGGTTTAAGCGAAAGCACATTTGGTGTGACATTTAAACGTCAATTTAATTTTTTATTAAATTTGGAATAATTTGGGCCTGTAATTGTGGATAAAACGTTATATTGCAGTCGTGTGTTAGTCGCGTTTTATCCACTTAAGAAAACTAATCGCTCGAACTGACGTTCTCGCGGTTAAACATTCTTGCGTGGATAAAACGCTACCTAACACACTCTTACAATAAATAACTATTTTTAAATGGCATACTATAATTTTTTGTGCTTATTATAATGCCTTTTTAGTTATTTACATATCCCCAAATTGTCTTTCAAATCAGTTTAGACATTTTATAAAAAAATTAAAAAAACGGTTTTGCACCTTTACTTTTAAAAATTAATAAAAAATACAAATAGTGCCCTTTTGATAAAATTAATACTAGGCGCTGATTAAATAAAGTCTAACAATTTTGTTAATCATGTTTGGTTTATTCGAATTACTACAGGCTGTTCACAATTTACTATCAAACTTTCCAAAGTTAAAAGCTTTTTAATTTTCTTATTTTAAATTAGAACCTCTATTTATTTTTCTATCATTCGAAACAAAATTAAAAAACAACTATTTTTCAAACTCAAACCTTATTTCAAATCTTAACACATTCAAAGTTATTTGCCAAAAGCTCGTTTTGTTAACTATTTTAATAAATAACAGTCCATTTTGGCGTTAGAAGTTTGAATCATTGTTAGCTTCGTGTTACGAGTATTATTTATTTTGACCTGTGTACAGTACTATTTTATTGCGCGATTAGACTCTATTCGATTATTTACTACGTCTGTTTCCAAGACAGTAAGTTGTATTTACTCGTTGCTATCCCAAACTCGTCGGTAAGTGTTTTGTTTTTTGTTGCTAAGTCGGTAAGCATTCAAAAATGTTGTTGAATGAACATTTTTTAGATATTTTATTTAAAAAAACTAACAAAAATCAATCTCAGACAATAATTGGAGTCGTCACTTCGCTCCTGCTCCAAACAATTGTCTTCGATTGGTAAAATGTCCTTACCGTTCTTGATGCTTAATATACTATTATCATGAAGTACAACTAAGAAAAGCTTGTCGATATAATTTTCATATTAAGAGAATGCGATAGAAGTTGTTTTTTGGCAAATCACTGACTTTAGATAGTCTACATTTCCCGTTGGTACAAACCTCTCTAATAAGTCTTGCATGCTTTTTTGTCTGGACAGCGTAGTTCCGGATAACGCTATGCGTCAAGTCGACTTGCCAAAAAACAGTTTCTATCGCATTCTCCTAATATGAAAATCATATCGCCAAGCTCTTCTCGATTGTATTCAGGATGAAGCTAACAATTCAAACTTCTAACATGAAAATGAGCGTATGTCAATTCGACCACGCCAGTATGGGGTGTGTAAATCCTACCGGTCAGTTCGACCACGATATTAAATTTAAAGGATTAACTTAATAAAGGAGATAGATCAAATTAGCAAAGATTAAAATCGGGTATTGGACTTGGAAAGAAAATATCAAGTAAATGTAAACTAAAACATTTTTATTTTATTTAATTTAATTGAATTTGGCAAATCATTGCTACATACTGATTTAACGAATGTAAATCTAGATATTGTTTTCACATTATATTCCAGAATTTTTTGATTAACATAATTTACTTTATTTTCAAAATTTTTCTACTTTGTGCTTCTTGATTTGACATTATTGCTAATAACAAACCGCTTCCGTCAAAGCAAACTAAAAGTCTAAAATGTGACCGTAATTGAATGTTCCAAGTTAAATTTCACCCCTATTTTAAACTACCTCTCTTTTATTGTTTATCTAAATCATAAATACAACACCAAAACCCCCTGCAGGGTATCCTCAACTTTTACGGTAAGAGGATTAAATTTATTTGGTGGTCGAATTGACCAACTCCGGTCAAAATCAACTTTTATTCATAAAAATAGTTGAAATACGAGTTATTGGCAAATAACTCAGAATGTGTTAAGATTTGAGATATGGTACAAAACACATTTTTTTGATTTTCATTTTTTCAGTAGAAGTGCCTAAACCAATTTGAAAAAGAAATATATTTTTATTACACTTAAAAAACACTTCAAACTGATCTACCAATTCGTCGTAATT